ATTTAAATGAACCAGATGCACCTTTTCCTTTTGTTTGTATCAATTTGCCATTAGCTACAGCAGTTTTCAAATATTTTTTAATAAATGGAGCCAATTTCTGGGCATCACATTTATATGTGGCACTTATATACTTTTTAATTGCCAACAATGAAGATCCGCTGCGTTCCTTCAAGTTCTTGATAGATGCATCAACCATTTGTTGTGTTGATGGATGAGATGGAGCTGCAGAAGGTTTTTTTACTTTTGTTGCCTTTTTAACAGCAACTTTCTTTTCAGGAACGGCAGTTATCTCCTTTGGAGAATCTGTATTTGCAACGGCAACAGCTTCAGACATATTTGCTTTTTAATATTCCGTAATATTCTTACTTAGAATATTTTTTCGCATTTTTATGGTAGCTTAGCTCACTTTGTACGAAGCGCCGAGAAGAGCGCATTTATAAAAATTTTTCATTAATACATATTTCTACTGAGTTTGAAAAAATTTTTCAACATTTATTATTAATTTTAAATAGACCAAGTAAATTAAACACAATTATTTAAATCAAATTAAGTAAAGAAGATATTGAATATTTTATTACATTCATTTTTATACTAATTATAATTATATAAAATATATAAAAATTGGTTTAAACTTTAAATTTTGTAAATCTATAGTTGAACTTGTTAATAAATTAGAATATTTTAAAGTTATCTTTTGTATAATTTATATATTAAATTATTTATTAAATAGTTTATTCAATTCTCTGTTAAATTATATATATGGTTTTATATATTTCATATATTTATAAATGCAAATTTAATAAAACATGAGATGCATAAAAACGTCAGTTTTAACATTTTGAATGCTTATGTTTTATCCTATTTTGAAATATTAACTCAATTTATATAAAAGTTTAAAATTTCAAAGCACTAATAGAAATAATTATAAATAAATATATTGTATTTTAATTAGAATATAAGATTATCACTTTTAATTATATCAAATAGTGTCTATTTGAGATTAGATATCCATCCATAATGTTAACATGTTACATTGAATTCGTTTACTTTAAGATATGTTTTAAGATTTTCTATACGTATTATTTTTAAAATTTTATTACAAGTTTTAAATAATTTTTAATCATGTGAAAAATTATTATATATAAACGTTATTAATAACATATCAGCAATTAAATTTATAGTTTTCAATATCATTCGAATAACAACTGTACGTATCCTACTTAATAGAATTCATAAAAAAAAATTATATCTACATACATGATTAAAAATATATAAGAATGAAATCATTTTACTTTTTCTTTTATAATTATAATTTAATTATTTAACTTTGACTATTATAAGTATTTTATTAAATATGTATATTTAAAAAAAATGTTCTTTTTATTACTTTATAATTAAAATAAAATTAAAATTAAATGTGCGTATTCTAACATTTTTATAAGGAGTGATATACGACATAAAATGTTAAAATTTAAGATGAATTTTTTTATAAACTAACATGGATATGGATAACATTTAAATAGATACTGAAGTATATATATAAACTTGCGGCTGCAATCTTCCATAGTCATTCCTAAGAGCTAGTTTTAGTAGGTTCAAGACTCACACAGTGGCTTTGGATGTTTTCCATCTACTGCCATAAATCTTTTATAAAATATAGAATATTTTATAAAACTAATTCAGATACAAATTTTAAAAACTCTACCTTTAAATAATTTATCTATAATAATAAATATTACAATACCAAAATATTGAAATAGTAACTATGATAATAATAGTAAACATTTAGGCCGTGTGCGAGTTCGAGTATATTTAGGGGAAATAGTCAATTATGTCGGTATGGCAGCGATTGTTGGTACATACCAGAATTTCTAATGAGATAAATTAGGTGTTACCATTTTGAAAATTTTATAAGATGTTTAGTAAATAAATAAATAAATTTTAAAACTTTTAAAAGAAAAATAATTATTTTTTATATGTTTCCTTCTTTATATTATGAATATTAATGTTTTTTAATAATTGTATCACATTTATTTAATAATAAATACAAATATTTGGCACAAAATTATTAGGTTCTTGATTTCAAAAAGGTAATTATGAAACTTTATGCTATTGGCCTGGCAACGTTATTTGTTTTGTACATTTTTATTAGTAACAAATATAATATTAATATTATTGTAACTTAGATTATACTACCTGCGAAGATTTATGTATCTATTTATTGATACGCGAATCTATGATAAATATTAAAAGATTCTTAATAATATATAGGGTTAGGCGATTGAAGTGTTACAAATTACACAGCGATATGTTTGTCAAACTGATATTGCCAACTACGTCAAATTCATATGAATGACAGCTATTTATATTGTTTACAAGTTACCACAAGCATTTGCGTCTAAGTTTTATAGAACTAATATTATTCGAAATGGAATTAAAAAATAAGTGTGATTGCATTATATTTGGTTGGAAAATTACAACTAGCTATTGTGCTTGAGCTCAAATATCTCAATGTGAATAAAATGTTTGTGTATCGTACCTTAAATCGTTATAATAGCTCAGGCAGAGTCACCAAATGCTATAGTGGTGGACAAAAAAAAAACAGCAACATTGCCTAAAATGGTTCGGAAAGTGAAGGCTCGACTTAAACGAAATCCACGTCGTAGTACTAATCAAATGGCCAAAGAACCGATAATATCTGAACGAAGCATCTGACGCATTTTCCAAAATAAGCTCAAGGTAAAGCTTTAAAAGTTCCAAGGCACAAGATCTTGCACCAAAGCAACAAAAAGTTAGACTCGAATGAGCAAAGGAGTTGTTACGCTGGGCCAATTTGGAGAGCAAGTTGAGAACTAAAAAATAAGCCAGTTTCGATACGCTGAAGAAAGCTTTTATTCAGGAATAGGCCAAAATACTGGAAGATCACAGCCATAGTCAAGACAAAAGGTGGCCACATCAAGCTAGAGTGAATGGATTGTGAAATTTTAATTATTTTCACAAATTTTTGTAATTTGAATCAATAAAAAAATAATGTGATCGCTTGAATAGGTAACACTTCAATTATCTGACCCTGAATAATAAACTTGCATTCTTAAAAAATAGTGGCACAGCGAACCTGCTTTCTAGGAAGTCAATTGGAACGCATACACACTCGTATGTATAAAAACTGGTTGATACCTGCTGCCCAAAAACAAAAAAAAAAATTATTACTATGTAGCAAAACGCAGTGTTAAGTTATACACTAACAATGCTATGTATTTTATCTGTTATGTAGGCTGATTTACAATTTTCGAAGATTTCGATTTCATGAAGGTCTTCCAGGAATGTAACGGAACAGAAGGGCGAGGCAAGAAATGATTGATTGTTAAGTGTTTTAAAGTATGGCTTGTGTAAGTTAGTAGGGTAGGTATGATAGTATGTACAATATTTATATCAATTGATTTAATGAAATACATTTTCTTTAATAAAATAAATTTTGTCGTCCTGAAAAGGACGGATTAATTGATAGTTAATTCTCCACGTATATGTATTCGTATTTTAATAAATAAAATAAAATAATTTAAGCCTTCTTTTCTGTTTTCTTTGGCAAAAGTACAGCCTGAATGTTTGGTAGTACACCACCTTGTGCAATTGTAACACCAGACAATAATTTGTTCAATTCTTCATCATTACGTATGGCCAACTGTAAATGACGAGGAATGATTCTTGTCTTCTTATTATCGCGTGCTGCATTGCCAGCCAATTCAAGAACTTCAGCAGCCAAATATTCCATAACGGCAGCTAAGTAGACTGGAGCACCTGCACCAACGCGTTCAGCATAATTGCCTTTACGCAATAATCGATGAATACGACCAACTGGAAATTGTAATCCAGCACGATTTGATCGTGACTTTGCCTTGCCTTTAACTTTACCACCTTTACCACGACCAGACATAGTTGAGTTGAGTTTCTAGTAGTTGAGATTTATAAAAATTGGATCTATTTTTTTTTAATGATGCCGACAAATTATCTCATATACTTTTTCTAAACGCAATTTAAAATAAAAAATTGCTTTAAACTTTCGTTTGAAAAATGTTTATATAGAAACGGAAATTGCCCCAAATCGACGATTAAAATTTAAAATCAGAAATCATGCCACCAAAAACTAGCGGAAAAGCAGCCAAAAAAGATGGAAAGGCTCAGAAAAATATAACCAAAAACGATAAGAAGAAGAAGCGCAGGAGGAAGGAGAGCTATGCTATCTACATTTATAAAGTGTTAAAGCAAGTCCACCCCGATACTGGTATATCATCGAAAGCCATGAGCATCATGAACAGCTTCGTGAATGACATATTCGAACGTATTGCTGCTGAGGCTTCGCGCTTAGCACACTACAATAAGCGCTCCACCATTACTAGTCGGGAGATTCAAACTGCTGTTCGTCTTTTACTTCCCGGTGAACTGGCTAAGCACGCAGTTAGTGAAGGAACAAAAGCTGTCACTAAGTATACTAGTTCCAAGTAAATTGCGTTATATCAAACAAACACCACTTATTCAAAAGGCCCTTTTCAGGGCCACAAAAATATTCAATTGAGTTGATAATTTCTCTATATTATAAATATGTATAGATTCCTGAAATTATTTACGAAAACTGACAGGCTTACCAATACCGCGTTATTGAATCTCAGAATGGTTGCAAGCTCCTCGGGGAGGTACGCAGATCTGATAAAGTTATAAACAATAATCCAGACAAGGATTATTGTTAATAGAAAGTAAAAGTGCTCAAGTGCACTGACTCAATTAACCTCAACATAATAATAATATAAATATGATATATATTTTGTTTTTGATATTTCTTTTAAGAGGCTACTGATAGAAGAAAAAAAATAAAAAAAAACTTTGACAGTCTCTTCATGAATTATCAGCTATCGTTTGGTTGTTAGTGAATAAATGATTCAATCAACAAATTAATTTCTGTCAGTTTTGACGATCTTACAGTTTTTTGATCATGGATAATATAACCTGCTAAATAGAGTTAACTCTTGAATTAACGAGTGTTAATCCTTATCATCAGTCTTAGTACTATCATCGCTTTTAAATTGATATATTCTATATTTGCATTCGTGCTTTAAATTTGAAAACATACAATTTCATGGGAGCTCTTTTACAACTCATTCCTTAAACGTTCTTTTAGTAAGTTCAAGTCATTTACATTACATTATGGCTTTTGATGCTTTCTGCTTACAGCAAAAGAAAAATAAAACATATTGATTCAATTAAATGTTATGACGTGAAACATTCTATGTCTAATGATATACTATATGATACTAATAATAGTATACATATGATACATATTAATATATATTATGCTACTTCTAAT